GTATTGATAAAGTTTGTTTTAATGTAAGTAGTACTACTTGTGCTAGTGTAATGTAATATGTATGCTCTAACTTTTGTATTGGATAATTTACAACGATGAATGCTAGCGAGTCTTAACTACTATTCTAAAAGTAGGTATCGTTCAGAAATAGGAAACAAGCGAAGTTCCTACCTCTCTAGAAGGCACCTGTCCTTTTAGAGACTATTTTGGATTTACAAACTTTGGCATATTAGTAACATATTTAACTGCCTCGTTGGTCTAGTGGCTAGCATACGCCTGCAGATCCAGAGATTCAAGTTCCGTGTTTGATCACTTTTAGATATGGAGTTTGTTTGTCGAGAAATTCTCAGCCAGTCGTTTTGAGTTGTCAACCCACCGATTTTTGAGAGTGACAGAAGTAGAGAGTGCACTTACGTTTGCGAGCATACTTGTGCACTAAATCTCCTGCGCAGTTATCAGTCTCAGTAAGATTAGCCGCTGTAGCCGAAATCAGTCATGAACATCGAAAATAGTAATTTCTTAAAAAGTATTTGTATTATATAATTTGGGATATATAAATTATATAGTTTGATATATATATATATATATATATATATATATATATATATATATATATATATAGATATAAAGCCGGCTTTAAAAATGTCTATGTTTAAAAATTGACTAAGGCTACAAGGAATTATTTTTTATATCGTATTAACTTCTTGACCCTAACGTAAACCAAACCTTCATCTACTTACAAGTTCTATTAAAGCAACAAATTCTTATATTCATATTAATGTTATAAATGTGATCGTGCGTATGTTCGTTTGTCCTTCTTTCACATCAAAACAGAGTGGCGGATTGGTGGTATTTTTGCGTGGAGATAGTTGGGGAGCTAGAGTGACATAGGCTACTTTTACCAGCGGGACATTATCTTATTCCCACAGGAAAACACGTTATAACGCAACTCAAAAATTATTTATGATCTGAATTACTTAAAACTTGGTATTAATGCTGTACAAAACAATAAAGTAAATACATACGTCTTTTAACATTTTTCGATATTCATCTCTTAATAGGGGGTAAAATAGTGGATGAAATTTTGTATAAAACCTAGTTTTCTATAGTTTTTTGTAGTTTTAGCACGAGTGAAGCCGCGGCTTCTGCTAGTTGATTATATATTAAAGCCATGAACACAATAATGTGTGCATTTTTGCCTGTAAATTTAAGTTTATTTGATCGAATTTAGTTAACTGTTAAGTTAAACTATACAAAATAAAGAATGTTTAACCATATTTACTCGTATGTACATACAATATTTCAAGCGTCACAATTGTTACGGGAAGCACTATCCTAAAAAAAATCTTCTAATATTATTTTTTATGATAAATGATCACTCAATAAATGTATGTTTTCGCTAATTTGACGTTTGGACATTGATAAATGGTGGAATAAGTTCTATTCTCTATACTAAGAGATATTTTGCCTTATAGAAGTGGTATTTGTAAATAACAATTTACTTTAGAATGGGATATTTCATTCCCACTATACATAGTTTGATTTAATGTCATTTTGTTCAAAAATATTATAGTACTTAATATATATTCATAAATGCTTCAATGCAATTATATTATTTTTATTCAGCATTAAATTATTACAATATTTTTCTTAACGTCATGAATGTTTCACAAGTTCGAAGAGAAAAAGTCTCAATTCTGAGAAGCGCTGGCGAAAGAAATTCAGCGGGGCAGAAACTTTTTTTTCGTCTTTATTAAATTATAAATTACAACGATTCTCTAATATTTATATAGCCTAAACTGAAGCCTTTTTTAAAATATAATATGTATAAAGAAATTAGACGACACGTTTGGCTCAGTTTGTAATGACACAACTTGCTGTGCCAGTGGTCGCGCGTTCGAGTCCCGCTGGGGGCATTCATTTGTGTGATGAGCACAAACGTTTATACTTCAGCCATGGGTGTTTAGATTTATAATATATATGTATTTAAAGTTATATATGTTTAGTGTATCAACTATCTGTTAAAGCCTCGTAGCTTACCATGAAACTAGACGGTGCTGTGTGTTAATGTCCCAACATATGAGTATTTATTTATTTAAGTTATACAAAACACAGAATAATACCTGTTGAGTTAAAAATAAAAGCATCCTTTTGTAAATGAAACTCTACATTCAAGACATGAAAGAATCTATTTAGAGTCTCTCTCGCAACTCATCAGCAAAAATATATAAAAACTGAGTAAAGTCAGGTAAGTTATTTAACGAGTAAGAAAAACTTGAATGTTACCTCAATTACGAGGAGTAGTCACGGATTGAGTGCTAATGCGTTAAGTTTATTGCTTCTTTACGTGCTGTTTTTTCTAATTCTCTGGTTATACCAGGGGTGTGTACTATCCTATTTGCTACTTCGATAACGACACATATTCTTTATTGAATGTATGTACTCGTAAGAAAATCTATGTGACGCTATTAATATCAAGTTTGTACGATCATTAGTGTTAATAGAAATTAAAAAATAATAATGATGGGCAGTAATATATAATAATATTTTTTAAATAAATAAAATGACTTAAAATAAACTTTAAAAACAAAAGGAGACAATATATTCAGCCACTTTTTTATATGTACATATTATTACCCTGAGACGTTAGTGGTAAATTATAAGCAAATCGAGGCTTGATGATAGATTTTAGAATATGCAATAGGACTATTTTATGTAACTAAAAGGAAAGCTTGGATTTCGGTAAAAAATTAGGCAAATAATATTATTTACAGAAAAGCATTAGCGTTGTAAACCATACCCTATATAATTGTTTATCTGTGTGTCAAGTTTTATGCAAATCTATTGAATTGCTAAAATACCCGTGAATGGGAAATAGACCGTATCTGTAACCGTGTTTATTTCCCATAGACACGGTTACAGATTTTTTATATAAAATATAAGACAATTCTTTATAATTTATCAAGAACAAAACTTATTCACTGAAATAATACTTTTTATATAGTATCCATATAACTTATCCAAAGGTCTGAGTCAAACCATAAACTCTTACTTCATTTCTTGCTTTTCTCTAGCAAGGAAATATTAAATCTAGTAGTACCATCTAAGATCAAAGTGTCCTAATAATCCAACTTACTAAATCGCTTCACTTTTGTCAAGAGCTTTCTTTGTACTTTCCGAATGAGCAAGTTCCACGTCCGGTTTCCGTTCCGGACGTTTGTCCGCTGTTTCCGTTTACTGTGTCCATGGTACACTTCGATTTTCATTTGGTTCATTGCTAGCTAATAAAATAGTTACTGGATGTAATTGATATATTTTTGATAGTTTGTATCATATGCATACGTTCTTATAACAATCATCCAAAGACTTTTAAGGAGAAATATTTTTTTGTTATTGTGTAAGTGCGATTTTTAGTCTGGTAGCCTAGTGGTACCGCGCTCGCTTGAGAAACCGAGTAAAGCAAATTCAAACCCCGAATTTGTTATTTAAGACATTTTCATATGCTAAACATTTCTAACTTGATTAAGTCTTACGGTGAAGGAAAACATCGTAAGGAAACCTACAGGTCTGAAAGAACCTAGCAAGTTTTTGAACGACAAGTTAAGTCCGCCAACCTACATTTTGCTAGCCTGGTGGTTTGCTTATCCTTCACATATTGAAGGAAGGCCCGTGCTCAACAGTGGAACGTTAAAAAGGGCTACGTACAGCATTATAATATGGTAGATGATGTACAGTGGTATCGTATAGTGAGATTTATTATTCTGAGTTCAATCTTTACACTGCACTCTAGTATCACTCTCCTCTATTTATAAAATTGATTTGAAAATTTAAACTAAGACAAGTACTTTTTACTATTTTTGAATTAGATAATATATTTATAAGCTCTTGTAATTCTACTTTTTTTTATCAAATTACAGTCCTTCTTTTACCCTTGCAAAAAAACAAAAAGAGCGACTTCAAAGTCTGTTTAAAAATAGTAATATTTTTGAAAAAATATCATGAAAATCAAATCACAGTCAGCAAATATACTGCGTAAGCTACGTAGGTACCTACTTGTACTACAGGAATATCTCAAACATTTACTTCTCCGATTTTGAAGTTCATTAATTATATAAAATAACAATTTAATTTAAAAGAACGTCTACAAAACTTCAATTTGTAAACCAACATTGCTTTTTAAAATCTTCCTGCTATTAGTCCAAAATGCACTGGAACAGCTCCAAAATTAAAGAACCGGCTTAGTATGGTGGGTAATGTAATTTTCTACTAGAGGGATTACAACATGGCTATCCGTCTTTAATTAATCCAAATGTGTCTCTCGGCGCCTGAAGTTATTCCACTTCGAATTGTAGGGTTGGCTAATTTACTTTTAAGATCGCATTCTCTCTTGACTACCTAAAAATAATGGCGCTATTATTCTTTTAATATTTAAAGTAAATAATTAAATTTCATTTATTATAATATAAAATAATTAAAAATTATTCTTTGATATTTTGTAATGAAACCAAGCGACTACCAGCTTGCTTTGGAAACAAATTTATAGATAAACTCAAATTCAAAAACTAAGACCTCTTAGACTATAATGTTGGAATCTCATTTTGACTAATAATTACTCTTAAATAAATCTTTTCGGTCTTTTCATGGTCACCCTGTACGGTCGGACTGTCTCTCTCGTGACCATGAATGCTGTAAAGCATTCGAAACGCCAGGAACCAAAAATCAAAATAAATCCGCGAAAAAATCTGAAAAGATAGTTTTATTTAAAATGTCAAACATTCGCATAATCTAAGAAAGTATTATAATTACTCTTGCTCGTATTAAATTATAAAATGAATATATCATGACAAAACCTGCAATTCTAATAGAATTTTTCTAGTTTTTTAACGTCGTATAAAATCCATCAAACCACGTTTGACCAGCATGACGGACTGCGGCCTGATTCCCCTTGCATCAAGAGAACCTTGCTTAGCAGTCGCGACGGTAAAGACGCTGAATTATTATAAGTGTCCCACGACTCCGTCTGTAAAATTATTTATGATTTATATTTACATATTATGACCTATATGTTACTCTGATGAATAAGCTATGTTAATGTGATTTAGTCATTTAGTCTATATAATGTATGCAGTAGATTTTGCATAAAAGAGTAACAAATATCTCCATACATCCATATATGCTTTTAACCTTCAACTCAAGTTTTTTGCGTGTAACAGTAGAAAAAATTATTGCTAGAATTTTTAGAAGTAAATCTATCTATTTTCCTTTCAAGAAGTAACAGAACAATGTAACAACATGATTTTTTGCATAAAGATAGATTGAATAATAATAAATGATAAATCCATGCTAATATTATAAATGTGAAAGTAACTTTGTCGGTTAAAGCGCTGAACAGATTTCTATAAATTTTGGCAACGACATAGATTGCATCCTGGGATCGGACATAAGTTATCCTTAATCCTAGCCGCGTCATAAGCGTAAAACGCGAGCGACACCGCGGGTAAAAACTGGAAGACTAAAATACAAAAAAAAGCGGTGTGTGTACTTACCTAAGTACGCACTTATGTACGCACGTAAGAAGTTACACTTCTTTGGCGTAACAGAACAAAAACAGCTAAAGATTTCATCCCGTATGTCACAACTCTCTGTTTGTAAAAGGAATGATACATTAATAAAATAATTAAATAAGGCATATTATGTGTATTACAATCATATATTTATAGAATGTCATTTAAGGAAAGAGTATAATATTATATATCATTTGTCAGACAATTACAACGGTTACCATGGCAACAAACATAAGCTAACTTGTCGTAATCGTGTCGCTTTTTGAAAAAATTTTACTCTCATATTTTTTTCCAAACGTCCCAAAAGAAGTATAACTTCAAAAGAATTTTTCTAATCAAAATGATAGTTTCAGAGATTAGCACGTTCAAACAAACAGACTCTTCAACTTCATATAAATATATATTAAAATTATGTATTCCATCTTATCGTTATTCATTCTCCATGCCAAGAAGCAGGTAATAATACCATGTTAAAATCTTATGTAAAATAATACCTCACCACACTTGTTAATTAAAAGATTGTATCGAAACAACAATATCGCTGTAATAACATATACCGCCCTAAGATATTAAATAAACTTAACAATTTACTCTAGGAATATTCCAGTTTTTGTTGTTAATAATATTGTGTATATTGCGAAGATTGTTTTTATTAAAAGTGAGTTAATTTTTTGTGTGCTCTTATGAGTATTGTTATTTATACATAATATTATATTTATATACATTTTATAAGATAATGAAATAAGTATGTAATTACATTTTAATATTACAATAAGTATTTAGGCGACCAAGCTTCGGTTGTGTTTTTTTTTGGAAAATCATGTTGTTTAGGGAAAGATATAAAAATTGCGTTTTTTTTCAGAAAGATACCTAACATAGACACCTTAAATTAATAAATTTGATAAAATTTTATATATAAGAATTGCTCATTTAATATTATAAAAATAGCGACTCACGCTCGCTTTGATCTGGTTGGTCCTAGGTTCGAAACGTTTTTCGAACGCAACTCTAAATCTATTTCTAAAATAATAGCCTAAGTTACTTTTCATTGCATAGCTATTTGCCAGTGAAATTCCCTTTCAAAATTGGTCCAGCCATTTTGGAGATTAGTCGGAACAAACAGACAAACAGACAAAAATGTTAAAAATTATGTTTTTCTTATAAGTACCGTATTTATATAATTATGCATTTAGTATAAAGCTGTTATTTAGATATTACAAACAGACACTTCAATTTTATTTATCTGTATAGATATAACATAGAATATAAAAAAACAAGCGACCATAACAACGGAATAATTTTACATAAAATATCCTGTCAAACATTTAAATTCAAAAAATTATTTTTAACTTAAACAGTACTGAAAAATCTAATATACGTCCTTAAAGAGAAATACTCAAACTCAAATAAATATCTACCTCATTTAACGTTTTTGCACTTCCAGTCGATAATATGATAATTTAACTATCATTATCTGTTAAGCCCTAAAGGTATAATTATTAATTATAGCCCTTTCGCGATCTGACGGATATGAAGCTCGTAATTTTGCCTGTTTGCGCTTTTGCCAACTTACGAGTATATAGTACGGGAGGCAAATGGGTTTATTATTGAGTTATCGTTACACTCAGTTTCGTCTGGGGTAACTCAGCTGTAATGAATGTTCAGCTATTTTATTATGACTGGTATTCAAGTGATATACTATTTTAAAATGGATTGGTTTAGCTTCATATGGTCATTGGATCGTGTAAAACTAAACTTTTAAGGGAAGGAATTTTGCACTTCCTTTTCGTAGTTAGAACAATATGAATTTAGTATACAAATATATAATATTTCTATTTTAATACAATATTCATGTCACCAATTTTTTTGTTTTGATATTAACTTCACTTTAATTTTGACTGAATCATTAGTTACTCGTAATTTATTTATATTGATTGAATGATTTAGGAACGTATAAAAGTCAAACTTCCAAAGCTTTTTTTTACGCAAGGAACCTTCGCAGGCGTATACAAAATAACCCACCAGAGGTTTATCATAATTGGATCAGTGGACAAACATACGACCATTCATCTTTATTTATATAACTATACATATTATAATAAAATTGTGAGTTGAATCTGGACGTTAAATATTTTTTGGAAAATCTTATTGAAATAGTCTTTATTATCGATAAAGAGATTGAATCTAAGTTTTAGAATTTTTGTCTGTCTGTCTGTCTATCTATCTGGGAACGCATCACGAGAAAAGCACTGGACAGATTTTGATGAAATTTGGGATGATGATAACTGGTTATCCGGGTCAACATAAAGGATACTTTTTACGGCGGGAAAATATCTCATTTCTGAGAAATATATACTAACCGTTAAAACGTAACTAGGGACGAACCCAAACGGAACGAGGGTAAGTTGTATATATTATATAAAACTTTATAAATAATGGAAGTCTGCACCCTGCTTTGACAAAAATTTTAACTGCAATGGCTTATGATATAGACTGTTGAAGTTAAAGATTTTGTTTAACACCACCGTAGCATCAAAACTTAAAAAAAATAGGAGGCTCTAGTGAATTTAATATTGTATTAAATTAAAAATTTTAATTGTATGTTAAATTTAAATTTTTCAATTTTTCAAATTTAAAATTTTCTATCAATGAAAAAAAGAAGGTGCAAAATCCATTCTCTTGACATAAAGGTTATTAACTACGGTAAAACTTAAAAAATATCGTCTGTCTATACAAAAATGCATTAACTGTATTATATATTATGGTATACTAGAAGTTCACCCTCGCTTCGCTCGGGTTCGCCTCTAGAAAAACAAATACAAATCTATCCAACGGGAACCGTATACTTTTCCGGGATAAAAAGTAGCTTATGTATTATTCCAGACTATATTCTGTCTTTGTGCCAAATTTCATCCAAATCCGTTCAGCCTTTCTGGCGTGAAAGAGTGACAAACATCCATACATACTCACAAACTTTCACATTTATAATATTTATACAGATTAGACTCTCAGACTATGTTTATATGCTTAGTACAAGTATTTACGTCACATTACCGATCAAAGGAAATTAGGTGGAATTATGTATTGGATCGAACCTTCAAAGGTAATAACGCGTGTAAATTACAAGGTATCGGAAAAATAACGGCGGTCGCATAGTAAACATGTGTATTTTAGAATATAAAGTAACATTACGTGTAAAAAATAACTGTTTACTGTATATGCGTGTTGGGTTTCAGTATTTATTTTATATCTACGTATAATCTGTCTAATATATAAATATCTCGTGTCACGGTGTTTGTAGTGGCACTCTTCCGTAACGGCTTGACTGATTTTAATTATTTTTTTTCGTATATTTGGCAGGTATGAGAATAGGTCGTAATGTATTATTTGTTATTCACTCTCCTATTCCTACCCCTTATTTTTAACGCAATTTAAGTATTTTTGTGTGAATCATATTATATAAAAAACACAAAAAATAATTTTATAACACAAAACCAAAGAGTTTTGTTTTTTATAGATTGTTCACGCGGGAGTAGCCGCGGGTTCTGCTAGTATATTATATTATTATTATTATCAAAGACAAAACAGTTCAGTACGTTTTTTCCCTCTGTTTATCAAACGATTATCAATTATTTTTTCTTTAGTAGACGAGCTAAGTACAGTGTTATTAAACAAAAATATATAATGATCGAATTTCAAACACAGGACATTATTTTTATAGAAAATCTGTATTATATATTTAATATTTTTAAATACGTATAAATAGATATAATATTATCTAACTTACGTACGTAAATATGGGAAGATGCATTTTTGTATGTCTATTTGCTGCAAAATCAGAAAACTCATAATTTTATTGTCTATGATATATAAAAATATTTATATAACAGTTTTTCGCTTTTTAGCGTTGATTAATTAAAAAGGTATTAGAAGAATAGTGGTTTTAAGTATATTGCTATAGTACATATTATATTTGTTTAGTCTCTACATAAATTTTCGTGGCACACGTACTACCCACAATAATCACCTAATATCGTTATCTATAGTAACGGATTTATTAAAAAAAATCATCCAAAACTGGCAAAGTAAGAACACAAACAAACAAACACTCGAATTGTGTATCTTTTTTTCAATCAGCCAAATAAATTCTATGTCACTCCACTAACTTTCGTCCTATCATAAAACCTACAATACATTATTTTTTATTCACAGTTTGTAAGCAATAGTATTTGCTCGCGGTTTTGCTCGCTTGATACGAGGGGTGGGGTTTAACCTAACCTAACCTATCCCGGGATGCAATATGTCCTTGGTAAATTGTATCGAAATCTGTTCAACAGCTTAAGCGTGACATGGTAAGAGACTGAGTTTATTTCAAATATTATATACAATTACTTTTGGACTATTGAATGATCCTTACCTTCCTTGAAGACGGTAAAAAAGGGCTGAACACATATGTACATACATTCTATTACAACATATAATATAAAACATTAGTAAGCTGTTAACCTTAAATACTTTTTATTTAAAGCTATACGAAATATAGCAATCATTTTATCTGAGTTTTGAATATAAATTGATATTTGATCCAACAAAACCTTACCGGTAGGTCGCGGCTAAGTAAATTTCCGCACCGGAAGTGGTTCCCACTAGGCGGGAGAGTACCTCCATTATTCCATATATATTTTTGTTTTGCGGTGAATCGTATCGTTGCTACATTTTCAAAGTATTTCCTTTTGTTTCCGCTTTTAGTCTTTTGGCTTTGTATGATATTCTAAATGCTGGCTCTTATTACAAGTAGTAAAACAATTTAGTTACGAAAACAACATTTAGTCTCTAATTACCACTTCCTTGTAAGTATTAATGTTATAAAAGGGTATTATGTATTCAATTAAAGTATTTGTGTTCCATTTTTGTATTTAGTAAAGGTTTTGCTTTTTACGATTATCTATATTATAGCACAGATTCTTTTGTGTAAAAACGAGATTTTACAAAAAAAAACGCCGAGTGATGTTCGGTCACCCCGGTTCTTACTTTAGTATAAGAATTACTAGCGGCTTCGCTCGGGTTCGCTCTTAGGT